ATGCTTGTGGAGAAAAACCTGAAGTTGTGATCCAAGAGCACCCCAAAAGTTCGGAAACCCGAGAAGCAAATTTAAAAGAACTTAAGAAGAACTTGTTACTTGTGAAATCTCTTTGCGTTTAAGGCAATATTGTGATCTGCTTAGATTTGTCTAAACAGAGACTAGCAATACTGTAAGAGGTAATAGTTTATGTAATACAAGCTATCAAAGGATGCTACAAGTTACTAAAGCACTTCAACATGTTAGAAATTGTTCAAAGCACTCACTTTTGAGGTTGAAATCTTCTGTGCTCAGCCTCTGTATGTAAGTAAGGTTTTGAGCAAAAGCTCTTTAATGCAGTTTTTTTTTTTTCCTTAGGATTAAAAACAACAACAACAACAACAACAATGCACTTTTTCCCATGTAAAAATAATTCTAAGCATGATTTTCCAGACATCACAATAAAAACCAATATACAAGTTGGCAAGAGCAGTGGCTTTGCTTTGTTTGCCAAGAAAAGTAGTTTAAGAGGGATATAATCACCTGAGAACCCCAGACGAGAAATTTCTTCACATCTACAGGAAATGCGTTGTGTGCTGTGTGCTACCAACTCCCATCCATGCTCAATACAGGTATTTGTTCCAGCCTTCAGCTATGGACCCTGACTTTTTATCACGAGCAGTGGTGACTAAGACTCTGGCGGTCCTTGGTTTTGGCTCATATGCTGGCTTAACGCAATGGATAGGTCAAGCCATTCAAGCACTTGCTTAACAAGTAAACTGCAACAGACCCAATCGCTTCTACAGTATAGGGTTGTGTTCCTAGACTAGGGTGGCCAAATGATGGCACGTGTGCCACAAGTACCATGGGCAGCTCCTGCTGGCATGTGAGCCCCAGGTAAAGGGAGGCAGGGACTGGAGCGCTATGTGGAGCAGAACGGGGACAGGATGCTGCTGAGAGAGGATGTCACTGCCAAGAGCCAGGTTAACCCTGGCCCTACAGCCACTGCCAAAATCAGGGCTTTGGATCATTGCTTGTCAGACAAAACTGCAACAGTTGTGGGGTTTAAGCTGGCTCTTGGAGGTGACACCTGCTGTTGGAGCAGTGCCCTGCTCCTGCTTTGCTCCATGCAGTCACAGCCAGGGGCTGGAGTTTCCCAGCCTCTGTTTTGGTGCCCCACGGTGCAAACTCTATCAGGTTCACCCTGGGGGTGGGGAGGTGGGGAGGGCTGGGGGGGAGAGATGGGGATGAAGTGGGAGGGGGGCTAACTTGAAGCACACCTGCCAAAACAGTTGGCCGCCGCTATCCTGGACGCATTATGCACGTGTGCGGAGATTCTGCCAACATCACTCCGGCAGAGCAGAACCTAACTCCTCCTGTTAAATTCAGTGTCAAAAAGGCTAACACAGATGGGACACTACATGAACGTTTCTTGGGTCAGAGGTCTTACAAGCTCCGATAGCGGGATCTGGAGGTGACTTTGCCAATTATCCTTTGACTTTCTTCCTTTCAGAAAAATTAGACTTCTAATGTAAATATGCAAGCCACATGCAGCTGACAATTATTCAAGATGCATTTTTATCAGATGCATAGATATGACAAAAGTATATTTAAAAATGTTTAAAAAAAATAAATTTCTAGCTCTTGTGCTACTCCATGGCTGCAAGATCAAGTGCTCAAAGACTGCTTCAATGATTTTAGCCCAACAACGTGCATATATAGTTAGGCTAAAATTCGATTCTGCAGATTCTATTCCACCTTTGAAGCACAGAGGTGATTATCTTTGGTAATCTGAAGTCAGGGCAGGGTAGCACCATAGAAACTAACTGGTTCAGAGAGGCATGATTTTATATGAGAGCTCTCTGAATCTCTAACGGTGCCACCCTGTCTTACCTTCTACCTATGAAGTACTTACGTGGGCTCAGTAGGATTGTATTCCACCCTGCTTGAGTCCCTGAAAAACAGTTCATGCCAAAAGTGGGTGGATCATCTTCCTCACTGGGTGCACCTATACATTCAATTAATGTGGAGCAATAAACTCAGGCATAGTTTGTCCCAGTCTGCTGCTCCCAGGCCCAGAGTCTGCACGTGTCCCCAGGAGTGCAGCAGTCTGAGCCGGGGTGGAGCAGCCCCAGGCTGGCAGCAGGCTCGGGGGGCCAGTCCCGGGAAACATCAGGGCTGGCTGGGGCACAGGAGAGCTGAAGTACAGAGCTGTGTGGCAGGCAGCCCCTGTACTTCAGCACCCTCATGTCCCAGCCGGCTTGGGTCACTGTCTACGCATGCGTTTCACTGCACGTCAATACTCTACCATAGGATAGTACTGACCCTGCCAGTACTGTCCTACGGTGGAGTTAATTAATTTACTGCACTCAAAAAGCAGTGTATGTAAACAGTGATGCTTTACTGAAGAGCTAATTAGTCACCTCCACAGTAAAGTGCATGTGTAGACACACCCACTGGGTTTTTTTTTTACTCAGTTTTAAGGGTATGATGATGGTGTGTTATAAGAGTAGCGAGGTAATGGCTTTTCAGGGTGCAACAGAGTTACATTTAGGCACCTAAGTCCACTTAGAAACCTAACAAAACCTGACCTGTATTTTCCATTCCTCTTTCTCTTGCAAAACTTTAATATATTGCTCTTTTATAAAAGCATACCACTGGATGCACAGTGCAGCTTGGTTAATGCTGGCGGGTGAAACCTGAAGGTTGGGAATAATTTATGACTTTCAAGGCCACGAACTTGGAGTCTTAATGATGCAATAGTATCAAGTCCTTTGCCCTTTCATGTAGAATTATTGTGGCTTGGACAGAGATTTTACATCACTAATTTGACCTTGGACGTTAAGTGTAAGAGCCATAGATTTTGAGGGAAGAAAAGGTAAACTCAGAAAAACATTAAGTAATGATAATATGAATGCAAAGCAAGGAAACTGCCTTGTTAATGCTCTCCAGGACAAACATGCAATATGTGAATTATTATCCAATATACGGGCACATTAACAATCTGGCCATTAGGTGAGAAGGTACATTAGCCTAGTAAAAAATGACAGACCACTAAGAGCACAACAGACGACTTCCTTAGAACCAGTCTCAGGACCAAACGAGCCACTATGCATAATTCACATATTGGACTGAGGGCACATACTAGAATTACTTGAGAGAAATCCCCAATTTGAGCCCAAGCAAAGGAAAAAGGGAAAAGTAAATCTGCAGTAACAGTGAACAAAAGACAATGGAAACCTCCTGTGCAAGTAATGCAATGGAACTATACAGAAAAAAAATCCCACTGTTTTTTTCTTCAGATTCTCAATTTTGTCGTTCTGTAGAGTTAACCAAATACAAAACCCTAAACACAACCCGTGAGCTCAAAGCCAGCTCCAAAAAATGCCAATTGAGAAAATGTTACTGAATGACTCTGCTCTGTTTATCATATTAAGATATATTTTTTGATGAAAAAATGCTAGATTGTAAGTGTAACATGATAGAAACAGCAAGCACTGCCAGCAGGTGTGAGAAAGAGAGAATAATTCAGGGATATTGTCATCTATAGGCCAATTTATATTGTCAGACGGCAGGTTCACATTAGTTTCTGATGCCACTGCAATAATGGCATAATGTAACAATTGAGCAGAGGATAGCTATGGGGTATAGCTCTATCCTGCAGTATATCTACACTTGTTAAAAGTGTTTCAAGATTCATTCCAGGTGAAGCCAGAAGAAGCTAAAGACTAGGATTAAAGGAGGAACAGATAGAAAGAAAATCATATTCATGAAGACTTCTGAATATTTTTGCGACGCTGAGGCAAGCACAGCACAACCTTTCATTGATTCAGTGGGTTCCTGATTAAAATAAACTAATGTACCAATTTGGGGGGTTTTTTGGCTTTTAAAAAAAAAATCAAACAAGGAAAAAAGGCTTTTTAACAGTTTCTCCCGGCAGGCGAATTGTGCATCTGTACTTGGATTTACTGCACATGCTGCCTTCTTTAGCAACATGTTAAGTTAGGGTATCAGCATGGTAGGTCACACAGTGGGGGCGACCTTTTACTAATCACTACACATCAGTTACTACTGGCACAGAGCTCATTACTAAGAAACCCTCCAACTAGCTGGCTTTCAAATACGCTTACACTTTGATTTTCTTTTTTCTTTCTTTCTTTTTTCTCCCCTAGACCAAAGATTGTACTTTTACATAAAAGCTTCTGTTGTGTAATTTTGTCAACTAGGGTTCTGAAGTCAAAAAGGCACCCAGTTAATTTGCTGCGATTATAAAAAAGAGACTGCAAACTTGCATCAAGGGTAGGTCTGTAATCTTGGGTTTCATTAAAAAGGTCAGAACATTTTTATTTGCCACCTATTATTAAAATGTTTGAGGGCTGCCATGAATTTGATTTTCCGGATAGAGAAATCTTGCTGAAAATTAAAATGTAATCCTACTGTTGCTTTATTGCTCCTTTTAGTAGACTAGGATACAGCTGCAGGGACTAAGAGCTCTCCTGCAATTTACAATTGGTTACTCGGGACAAATGGCAGGGGAGAAATGCAAGACAAACTGTTTTCTCCATCGAGGAACAGTTGGCTTAATTTCAGGTTCTGAAAGATGGAGAAAGTATTTCTATTGAGTGTGAACCACGAGCTGTCTGCTGCCAATGCATGCAGCACATTTTACAAAGAGCAACCAGGGGAAAAAAAAAACCCAACCTCAACAACATGTGATCATTAGGGATGCAGAATGTAAAAGCCCTAGGAAAATGAAACATAATGGGCTAAAACAAAATGGTTTTTAACTCACCGGCCATTTGCTGAATGCCGCTGAAGGCACCCAAATTACTGGAGGAGGTTGCTTGCTGCAGAAGCTGCAAATTAATAATAATAATAATAATAATAACAACAACAACAATACCAACAACAATAGTAATAGCAACAGTAATGGCAATGACAACAATAATCGAAATGGCATCAAAGTGACAAGTTAAGGTTAAAGCAATGTTAGCTACCAAATACATTTGCAGTACATATAGTTTCCTTTACATTTATGTGGGCTCTTTTTTCTGTGTATTGTTGGAAAGAACATCCCCAGAGTCAATGCTGTATATCCATATTAATGTCTAATCTCTATTAAGAAACACAGAGACACTGGGGAAACTCAATAACATTGCTGCTTTAAAACAATTAATCAATTTACTCTTTTTAACAACCAGGTGTTAAATCTATTTAAACCAACATAGCGTGACTAATTATAACCCTCTGTAGTCTGGTAGTTACCATAACTCATCTCTGTCAATCATGGTCCATTCCTTCCTAAACCCTTTAATTCAGTTTTTTCCCCCCTCTTTCATCCTTAGCTAGGATAAATCAAGTACACAGATATTCATTAGTTCACAGGCAGGTGCTAAGCTTATGTAAACAATCAAGTATTCATTTAATATACTGTTTTTAGACTTCCAGTTAAATGAATATGTATGCAGACATATAACTATGCACTCTTTTCTTTTACACCCCCCATACATTTATACATGCACACAATATGTATGTACACATGGGTTCCTATCTGTACATGATCTTTAAGCATACTGAAGCAAGTCTAAACATCTATGAACTTCCCAGCTGTCAATATGCTACACAGTAAAACCGGTCACAAACTCCACAGCAAAAAAAAGGCTGAGTGCCCCCAGCACTTAAAACCATACAGAAATTTCTGAGAGCAGTACAGGACTTAAGACACAGTTGGCTGTTCAGATTTCTCCATCAGAGGGCAGTTGTACCAAAGTAGCTAACTCATTTGTGCCTCCTAGCTTGGAAAGGGTCAAAGAAAACGTCATTTTAAAACATGAGAAACTAATTGCTACCCCAAATCAAATCAACCTTCTTTAAAGTAATACGTACCCCACACAATTAATAATTACAAAAGAACACTCAATGTATAGTGTTTAACTCTGAAAGTGGTAGCTATTTTCAAATCTGTTAAAAGATTAACTCGAACTGGGGCAGGGTGTAGAGTGATAAGGCAGAGTAGAAATAACCAGAGACGTTGTGGGTTCAGAAGGCTATTCATTAATAAGTTTGTCAAGTGCCTACCCGTGTTCTGTAAGGTACCAATTTGATTTTGAAATAAAAAAGAAGGAATGTTTAATGTATTCTAGTTATAAAAAAGTAGAATTTAATGTTCTAAAATATAATGAAAATATAGGGGAACAATGGATGCTGCATTTTCCAGTGTAAGTCGACTTGCAACCTTCACACTGCAAGGCATAAAAATATCTTGGAACTTTCATTCTAATTTGCTCTTGTTGTAAGATTTTTTTTCCCATAGCGTTGTAAATTTACAGATACTTTACATAGTGAGACATATTCTCTGCCCTGGAGGACTTAACGTTATAATGTGAGTTTAATGACTACACGTTTCAACTATCTTAAACCAAACACATTTCACAAACTTACAGCTAGATACTGTGGTGTGAGTCCTCCAAGGCCTGTGAGGTTCCCCCAGGTGGCAGTGTTGAGCTGTTGCATCTGTTGTGCCAACTGCTGTTGTAAACGTCTCTGCTCCTTATCCTTTTGGGTATCGGCAAACTTCACCACTATTGGCGAAGAGCAGCCCTGTGATTGGACAGATTGGGAAACAAAGACATTACGTCACACACATGTACACACTTCTCGAGCATATTTTTCGCTCTTTGAATCCATTTTGAAGTGATCAGACATTATATCTTGAACCCTTCTTATTTATATATATGTAAGACAGCAAAGATTAAGATTTCAACTTCTTTGGAAATGTGACAGTTGAAAAATTATTCATTTCTTATCTCTTTTTATAAAACCCTTTCCCCTGGACTGTCTTGTACCTTTAACTATCTAATACCCCCAGAGACACCAGAACTTATCAATGCTCTTTAATTAAGCTTCACGGTTCACATGCCTAAAAAAATGGACTTGTCCTTCTGGTTTCTGTCTGTTTCCAAGTAATAGCCAAAGACATCAAGAGGATATAAACAGTGACACATGATTGAAAACAGATCTAATTCATTGTTTTTAGATGGAAACCTCTTAAGATGTTTTAATTTAAAGGACAAGGTAGAAACGTAGCAGTTCCACTTTACTTCTGGAAAATTAATTGGAAGATTTTAAGATGTTTTGAAGCCATCCATCTCTCTCAGGGTTTTATACTGCATTGCTACTGTGGCAGTGTCTGTATCCTGTACAAGTGAAATCCCCCATGCACTCTCGGGCTCATTTTTCTTCTAACCCTCAATGCGAGCACCATTAGAAGAGTAAAGGACCACTTGGAGCCAATGAACATAGCAAGAATTTAGCCTCGGCTCACAATGTATAATGGGGGTCTATACTTAACCTAACTCTTTCAATGGCTGCTCTAAAACCCTGTGAGCTTCTTCAGAAAAGTTCTCCATTCTCCATTTCTACAAAGAGTAGCTGTATACTTTTTCTCTGAAGATCCTCACAATAGGACAATAAGAACATTCACAACCAAGAGATAAAATGATGAAATAAGCTATAGCTATTTCATGGCAGGAAGACCTCCCATCAATACCATGCCTTCAGAATTATCATTTTAGAAAATGATCACTTGAGATTTATTATTCCACCCCCAGTCACTTGCCTGTATATTTCATTGTAAAAATGTCTTTCAATTTTTCAGCGACTAAAACGGGAGATATACCACTCTAGCAATTGAATAAAGATTATGGAGGAGTCAGCTTGGTACACAATTACCTCTCTTCAGTGAGTTTTTTATACCATTAAAACAAGCTCTTTTTGGGGGGAAAAATCTGGAGGTATTTTTCTAGCATAGTTAATAAAAAAAGGACAGAGCAGATTATATTTTATTTTTCATTGGAGGGGTTGGGCTAAGTGCAATGTTGGATTACAGAACAGACATGAGACTCAAGTCTATTTCAAAGGGAATAGAAATGAATTTGAAAAGGAAGAATATTATATGGCTGTTCTAGTATTCAGTTCAGCCACTCTGAACTCATCACAACAGCTGACATTATATCTGTAAATGTTTAAATGTCAGTAAATTGCATAAAAAACAATACCTCTGCAATTTAGGAATACATCATTCATTTTTTTTCACTGTCCACTCTATATTTCATCACTTCATCATTATCAAAAGAGCAAACACACTGAAGATTGAAATGACAGGTAGAAACGTGTAACGTTACATGTAGAAACATATGAGAAAAAGCTTGTTGTTTTTGCATCACGTTTATTTTGTGATAGCTAAGTCGTGTTTCCTACTAACAGAGCATGTGGATTGTTTGTGTTTAAATATAGAAATGAAGTAGAAAAGCAGAAAATTGAACAAATGATTACTGCTTTAAAAATGAGCTGCCTGAACCTGAATAGACAGTCAAATACAAAGAGCAATAGGAATTCATTATTTTTATGACACACTTGTTCTTCTGAACATTAGCATTCGCATCTTTTTGAGCTCTTAGCTCAGTTTGAAAATACATGTTAGGCAATGATGTGTGCCAAAGAACCCCAAAAAAATGAAATTGGAAAAAATAACTCGAGTCATTCAATTGAAACTTGATGACATAATATATAATCTTCTGTTTTAAAAGTCTTTTTTTTTTTTGCATTAAACATGAAATCAGAGTGCCCAGGAGCATTATTGTTCTGGCTGAGGGTCCAGATTTAATATTAGCTATCAAGAGTCAGCCCTTTGCCATAATAACATGGAAATTAATAACTCAGATGCAAGGAATGCTTCTGAATGGTGACTTAACTGCCTTCCCTCTTTCTTTCTACTGGGACAGGGCATGCCCTCTGCATGAGCGGGGTCAGGGGATTTCCTACCTTTGTATTCTATGGCTGTCTTCTTTCTCCACCCAATTTAATGTCATTATCGCCCCTTCACAACAGGAAGTGCTTCCAGGGCACCTTTACTTCTGCTGGCCAGGTGGTATGTGCAGACTCCTTTGATACCATAAAACACTGTGCAGGAAGGGATATACTTCCCCAAAGTAGCAAGTACATCAGCTGCGCTGTAGACCTGAGCCCAACTGGCATGAAGGTTAAGTTTCGAGATCCAGGCTATTCTGAACCATCATACTAGTTGGGAGATGCCGTTTGTATCCTATGTAAGGCACAGATTCCCCAGCCTTTCAGGCTGCTGATTAGCACTTTGCTCGGAAAGTTGTTATGCCCACAGGGCCAGTGTGAAACCCTTACTCGGAGGAGCTAGTGGATTCCCTGTTGGATATGGTGCTATTCAACATGAGCAGTATGTCAAAACGCAGCTTTGTTTGAAGTAAGATACTATACACGGCATAAGAATGGGAGAATCTGACCTTTAGGTATTATTTTTAAAAATCCTCTGGAGGTGAGGCTGATTCAGCTGAAACTCATTACTCTAGACCAAAAATATATGAGAACACATGGAAAAATATACATAAGAACACAGCATTGTTAAAACTACTTTCCTTTTACTTGGAACAAAACGTAGCAAACATATACTTGGACCCAACTCACTGGGCAGTGTGTGGCCAACAAATTTAAAACAGCATTATGTCAGGGAACAGCAATGGCACTTTTAAATCCATATATACAGTCAGATTGCATAGTAAAATATATTGTGCAATGTCAGCTTCCTAAGTACAGCTTTCTCTGTGGCACATTCTCAGCTAAGATTGCATATTCAGGGCCTAAAAAAATGCATTGCACTGAAAAGAAAAAACATCAATTATAAAATAATCTTAACCAAAGTTAAATGTGATGTTTGGAAAGACAATCACTTTGCAATGCCAATATCATTACTTGTAGAATACAGAAAACAGTTAGTGACACTAGCATGCAATTTTTTTTTCTCTCTCTCTCTTTTCCCTTTTGCTCATTACACAAAGCGGCTCAACGACATGACGCAATAATGATTGTTTAGTGCCCAGCATGCTTTGGGAGACTACAGCATTGCAAAGAAAAATTACTCAAGAAAAAATTGAAAGGTCCTTGTTGGAAAAGAAAAAAAAAAAAAAGAAAAAGAAACAAGTGCACATAACATCAATGCCACCTCCGAGAAAATCATCAATACACAGATACAGTATACATAATACAGTATAACATGCACTCTCAAATGATATACTAGAAGATCCAGAATAAGTAAAGGCTTAGTACTCTTGCGAGGTTGTTTTGTGCAAAATTCTGAAAGACCATGACAAAAATCACAGACTAAAAATGTTGAGGCCACCAGATAAGCTGGGGCATCTGATAACCACCCCAGTGAACTGAAATTATGAAGCAGCTTTATTCTTCTTCGTCAAGTAAATTTAAAGGTTTGGGTTCTCATCATTAAAAGTCTGCTGCCAGGGAGGCAGTTTTTAGAGGAATTAAAGATCGCTGCTTGTACAGAGTCCTGCCGTGGTAATGTATTGCAGCAAGCCCAACTCTTCACTATTCTCCAACGTAATTAGCATTTTTATTGGCTACATGAAGTAGGAGAAATTATATTAACTTAAAAAGAGATTCCATATGCAAAAAACCACATGCACTAGTAATTCAGCATGGCCAGGTTAAATCTCTCTTGAGTCTTCTCCCAGAGCAGTACAAATCAAAATGTCTTAAAATTCGTATAAAAATAAAGCATTTCTTTTTTGCTTTTATAACTTAGAATTTAGTCGCCAAACACTTTTTAGGAAGGACTGAAGAGTGTTTTTTGAACTGCTAAAGAGAGACTATTTTCTTTTCTCCTGGAAGCCACTGGAAGCACCGTGCAAGTAACACTTGGGTACAACACAGAGATCTTTTTGTTTTTTCCCTTGCGTTTTCAGATCATTAAGAAAAAAATCGTTTCGCCGAGAGCGGCCCAGCGAGTTTGTTCAAATTTAAATCTGTGATTGTCATGTGTCTGATCTTCTCCAGGAGAGCATGGCTTTACCATTCGCAATCATTTGCACAAAGAAAACAAAGAAAGGGCAGATGATACAGTACTGTACCTCCATAGTCTGAGACTGATGCATGGCTTTGATTGCATTCTGTGCCATTGCCCTTGTAGAAAATGTGACAAACGCACAGCCTGTGGGAACAAGGGGACAGGGAGCAGGAAAGACAAAAAACAACAAGACAAAAGGGTTGGACGCTTGTTAAACCAACACAGTCTACGAGAACGGCCACAAGACGACACTGTTCTCAGTAGTACATAAAAATAAACAACTTCTCTAGTTTATTTATTGACAGTGCTGACTTGCTAATCTGACCACTGATGAAAGAGAAAAAAATAGGTAGTAACGAGGAGAAAGGATTTTTTTTTTGTTTCGTTTTGTTTTGTTTTTAGCCACAGGGTTGGAAACGAGTAAGACTTTTTGTGTGTGTCAAGTTTGGATTGTATACCTACAGCTCATTCCAAACCATGCATTAGTCATTCCTTGCTCTGTCTTTTCCTTTTTAATTGTCGATTTAAATGAACTAGCTGGGACTCCTAGCAAAACAGGACAGAATTTAAAGACTTTGATAATGATATGGTACCTTTTTTTGGACATGGCAAGAACAGCTACACAAATAAGAATAGGGAAATGTGTGTAATATGTTTTGAAATTAAGTATCAAAGAACCCAGAGGGAAAATCAATAATGAAGGTATAACTTAAATGTTTTTAAGAAATTCTTTTATTTCAAATGATCTTCATGATTTTTAGCTTTGAAAGTTCTGGGTGCACGTGATGTAAGAAAACTATGCCCAGATCTAAGGATGAGAGAGCTGTGTGTGCAAACAATTGAGAAACCATTCCCCCCATCCCACCCCTTCTTTTAAACAGTGCCTGGGCTGGTTTTTTCCCTCCTCTTGACTGCTACTCACACCAATACTGGGCACTGCATAGGTCAACCCGAGTATTTCATGGCTCACTGCCCTTTCAACTAATAAAAACACTGCCTTCTAAAATTTACATTTGATTCTTCATGCACCCCTGGGCATCTTAAAGAAAAAGACTGTGAAATTAATGCAGATTCAGGCTGATTTTGTAATAATACCATGGCACACTAAAAGCTTAGCTAAAGCAACACAGACTTATTTCACTTGTGATCTCTAATGACTTTAAAAGTGCATTGATTTTCAACTCCCTTAGCCTTGCACAGTTTGAACTTAGGTTTCAGAGAATAATTTAGTGTTCCACTCAATTTCCTCAAAACATTATTATTATTACTACTTAAAAGATTTCCAAATGAAGCAAATCTAAGCACTGAGAGGCTGAAGCATATTGTCATTTTAAACCTAATGCATGAAAGCTACATTCTGGCATCAAAAATACAATATCTTTGCCCCTGTGGCCAATGGGCAAAATAAACCATTTTGCAATCCAACAAGCAACAGCTTGTTTGGTTTATGTAAATCAATTTGTGAGGCATAAAACATCTTTTTTTTTTTTCTTTTGCTCCATGTGTACCTGGTAAGATTATCAAGTCAAGACTGTATTAACATTTTAATCAAACAACAGTAAGAGAAAGCAATGCCTGATCATTACCCAAAAGCACTACATCTAATCATGAAAATAAAGTCAATGCATTTTTTGCATCATGCGGTAATTTTTTTTTTCTTAAATATAAACGCCCTTGATACAAGGGAGCCTAATCTATTAGACATCATTGACAGATCAGCTTTATAAAATGTAAAGTCAAAATTCTTTATGCAGACTTTTACAATGGTATGCTATTTCATATATTTTTTTGCAGATAACATAACAATGGATAATGTTTTACTGTTTAGGCATACTACATATGTTGCTACTATTGTTATCCAGAAACAATTTGTTGTCAAAGAAAATAATTTAACAAACAGCTTTCTATACGGCATTCTAGACAAAATGTGTAGTAGAATGGTAAATAAACTACAGTACCTCTGCTAGACTCCATATTGATGCTGTGCACTAAAATTAAAGAGGCCCAAATTTACCATCAGTCTCAAAGTAATCTCTCTTAAAAACATCACTCTTATTAATATTAACAGAGGAGATAGCACTATTTCTTATCTTGTGACTTCAATAGGGGAAGAGGACAAACTAATAGAGTAAAGAAAAGAAAAAAAAAAAAACACATATAGAGCCCTGAATAATATTGCTTTTAAGGGTCAAAGAACCATTTCATTCACTTCCTTTACTCTTATTATCCAGGGGCATGTACCATAGTGACAATTACCAAATGGAGGTTAAGCATGCATAAGAAGCATGTAAGATGTCAACAAGAATCAATAAGACACAGTTTATGCATTTATCACAATTTCTATGCAGCAGTACTGCTGTAAGTAACTTACTGAGAGATGTTGCAATTAGCAGGTCTCAAAAGCAACGTGAAGCAGCCAGACAATAAAGCTATGTTCCTATCCACATTATGCAGGCTCTTT